AGAGAGAGAGAGAGAGAGAGAGAGAGAGAGAGAGAGAGAGAGAGAGAGAGAGAGTTGCAATGTTTACTGTTGGGAGACAATTCCAAAGAGGATGGGGACGATCAAAGGAGCGGAGGAAGAAATTGAAAGCCGAAACAAAAGGAGAGGAACGGCTGGGAAATGGGAGAACAGGTTCTTCAAGTTCTTTTCCTTGCATGGAGTATAGAGCCCATTTAGTAAAGTTAAATCAATGAAATTCAATTTGATAATATTTATATTATCGAATGCACATCCACCCACTTTATGAATATTAAGACTTCCACAAAGATCGCAAACCGTATTCTTGTTGTACCCGCTCCCCCTCCTCCCTCCACCCCCTTTGTTTATTCCCCCTTCCTCCCCACATTCTCCCTCCAGCCCATTTAGTTAAGTTCAATCAATAAACAGTATTAAAACTCAATTTAATAATATTTGTAATTTTGTACAATGTACATCCATGATTTATGATCCATGATCCATCCACTTTATGAATAATAAGACTTATAAACGGTATTCTTGGTGTACCTGCTCCCAATCCTCCCTCCCCCGCCCCCCCCTTTTTCTCTTCCCCCTTCCTCCCCACAATCTTTCTTCTTTCTCTTCTATCCTTCCCTCTCTTCCTAACTGTGTTCTTCCTCCCTCCTCTTCCCAACTTCCCCCTAGCCGCACAGCTCCTGATACAAGGAGAGTAATTTCTTTTTTTATGCTTTTTCTTTCTAATATGCATTTCAATCACCGTTACACGAACACTTGCGAAAAGAGAATTGAAAAAAAAAGAAAAAAGACTTTATTCGCTGAATTGCTTCTTCCAAGCTATTCAAACAAACCACAACCACCCTTTACATCCTCATCAACACACTCTAATTATCCACAACCTCGTCCGTTTCCTTACTGTGGTGTATCCACAGTACAACTACATACCAATCCACCACTCACTTTTCCCTTTTGTCGCCGTGCCAAATTTAGCACTCCCGTATCTAACTATATCATTGTCCGCATATACACACTCTTATTTATCCACAACCTTATCCGTTTCCTTACTGCCGTCTATCCACAGCACAACAACATACCAACCCACCACTCACTTTCCCCTTTCGTTCTCGTGCCAAATTTAGCGCTCCTGTATCCAACTATATCGTTGTCCGCATATACGCACTCTTATTTATCCACAACCTTATCCATTTCCTTACTGCATTTAAGCCGCAGTACAACTACATACCAATTCAACACTCAACTTTTGTCTTTATGGTCGTGCCAAATTCAGCACTCTATCTAACTATATATCTTGGTCTATTTATATCTTCCTCGTCCCCACAACGAACCACTTGAAAATTGGTCCTAAATGTCTCCTACTACATATCATATCCAGACATGGATAAGAAACGGACAATAGTATTCAGCCATCCATACGATCTATAGCAGCTTATTAGTAGTTACAGCCAGGCCATATAACAAGGAAACACTAAGGGCGTATTCACACTACGACTTTTCTAAATGTATCTGACTGAAATTGCGGCGAGAACCCGATGAACCTGACTGAAAATCAAGTCCAGAGCATAGTGCAAAAAGTCCTAGTGTGCGTATACCCTAATACTAGATAGTTCACAAAAATAGAAAAGACACTAGTGCGTAATCACATCACTCCCAGCTGGAGCACTCAATGACAACGGATAAGATCGACAGGACCAGCTGGACTACTTACAGACAACTGATTAACCCCCCCCCCCCCCCCCCCCTACCCTTCAACTTGACCGGATGGGGGGTAAATTCCAAAGGCTGCCAACTGGGAAACAGAGACCAGGGAGAGCACCGGGCATCGGCGGCATCAACTGGTAGCGAACGAGCGAAATTACATCGAAGAATCCTGAACCAATCAACAAATTCATCAAATCATCCTAAAGCCACTCAACTACTTCATTGAATGCCGGACAGACATGGAGACATGTTAAGCGTAGAACTAAATTTCTAGAAGAAAACGGGAGAAAAAAAGAACACGAATTCAAAAGTCGGACAAACACGCAATCAGAAACGTCATCCAACGTGGTTGCTACAGAAGCTCTCGCAGGACCAGGATAGGGTGTGTTGCCAGGAGAGGTAACAGATGGGAGTATGCTAAGGGAGTGTGAAGGAGAGATGAAGAAAGGAGAGCCTAGCTTGGGCGGGAAGGGGAAGACAAAGCCCCATGGGGGGGCAGGAGGGAGCGGGAGGGGGAGGGAGGGGGTGGGGGTTGGGGGGGGTCTATAGGCTAGAGAAGGGAGGGATTAATCCACCTGGAAAAAGGCTGAACGTACGTAGACATGATGCTGTCCTGCATTCGAGGCCTGTCTCTTATACACATCTAGATGTGTATAAGAGAGGAGGGGAGGGGAAGGGGGGCAAAGGAAAGGCAGGAGGGGGGAAAAGAGAATGGAAAGAGAGGAAACCAGGAGGAGACGGAGACTCGTTTGGGGGGCTGGGGGATGCGGGCGGGGGAGGGGGGTGAGGGGAGGAGAGGAAAGGAGAAGCTGGCTTCACAGAGGCATTGGGTGGTTGATGAGGAGAGGGGGACATGGTTTGTAGGGCGGGGGAGAAGGACGGGAGCGGTGGTGGGGAAATCCCAACCTAGTTTGGGGAATTTGGTTAGGTGGGTGTATCGGGGGAGAAGGGAGAGGGGAACGAGGTGGGCTATTATTTGAATCCAGGAAGCATATTCTCATTCTTCTGGAGATTGGGTCGGCCAGCATGTGCCTTCCTATTAGACATCCATCCGATGACTATCCATCCATAAGAGGGGAAAGAGGGAAGGGAGTAAGGGGGGAAGGGAGTAAGGGGGGAAGGGGGGGGGGGGGGGGGGGGGGGGGGGGGGGGGGGGGGGGGGGGGGGGGGGGGGGGGGGGGGGGGGGGGGGGGGGGGGGGGGGGGGGGGGGGGGGGGGGGGCCCGAGGGGGGGGGGGGGGGAAGGGGGGGGGGAGGGGGATGGGCCAGCGTCTGCCTTCATATTAGACAGCCATCCGGCGATGGCTATCCTTCTACGGGAAGGGAATGGCGGAGAGGTGGGTGCAGGGCGGAGGTCTCTAACAAGGGTGCAGAGTTGGGTGTGGTGTATGTGAGGCCCGGGGAACAAGGGATTTGTCGTTCTTTCTTTCGATGAAAGATAGCAACCAGCAACCACCTTCCTCTCTCTTCTCGCTACCAACAGAAACGAAGAAACACCTCCTCTATCTCCCCCGCTTCCTCCAAGCTAACTCGAAGACACCCCACACTATCCTGGAGTTACATTCTCATATGATTTGTCAGTCCTAGATGTCCCACTAATTTTGTGTGGGCATGGATTTCTGTGTGGGAAATGTGTGCGACTAAGATTTTGGGGTGGCACATGGAACTTGCGGGAACAATCTAAGCCCCATTTGTGTGGGACATGCGTGGGACATGTGTGGGACATGGAACTTTTGTTTCGCACATAGAACTTGTGGGAATAATCTAAGTCCCACACAGATGGAGTAATCGTGTGGACTTAGATTCTTTCGTATCGGTCATTGAGTTCTCTAATGATTTGCCACTCTACTCTCTTCCCCCTTCCCCCACCCCCACAAAGCTCACATACCAACCACCACTCCTACTCTTCCTTTCGTGTATTCTTTATTCTTTTCCTTGGCCCGTATCGGCCGTTGGGTTTTCTACTGATTTGCCACTACTCTGTCTCCCCTTCCCCCCTCCACAAAGCTCACATACCAACCACCACTCCTACTCTTCCCTTCGTGTATTGTTTCTTCTTTTCCTCGCCCGCCCCCTCATTCTCAGGTCTCACATAATCGTACAACCCCCCCCACTGTTCTCCGTGTCTTGAGAAGATACCCTTGACTGCTGCGGTTGTTGCTGGCCATATCTGCTCCCTTCTGGATTATAAGAGAAGTCCGAAACATCGAGCCCATACCTCTCTCGCATGCGCTGGCTCCACGCATCAGACCTAGGTGGACCCTGACCCGCTGCTGCTGGCGCCCCCGTCAGCGGTGGTGGCGGCGGTGGCATCATGCTTCCAGGCTGGACACGTGGCAGCAACGGCTGACGAATCGCTGTTGTCCTCGATATCACCCCGTACTCGTCGTCGCTGTCACTTCCTCTTCCCCTTCGTCTCCTACCACCTTGCATTGCCTTAAGTGACATGGAGAGGAGAAGACCAAGAACCTCAACACTAGCCACAGCTATGGCGATCCCTTGAAAAATTTGAAGATGCTGAGCGATGAAGGACTTGGTCTTGACCAGCTGGCCGGTGGGGTCAGCCGGCAAATAGTCTTGCCAGTTGTCGTTTAAGAATACAACAGCTGCCAGCGCGGCTTGCGCCATCAGCAGAACGGCGAGGCCGAGAGAGTGGCAGGAGAGACAGCAACCATTATTAGTCCCTGCACCAATCAGACCCGTACACGTAACAACAGCCATGAAAATACCGGCAATCAAGAAGACGTAAATGAACCACGGAGCAGGAAGCTTAAGGTCGTTGAGGCCTGCAGAGACAATGGCAGAAGTTTTCCCCATCATGGAAGAGGAGGAAAACCCCGTCGTCGGTGGAACTGGCGGCTGAGGTGGGGTTGGAATATAAGCCCACCATGCATTCAGCATCCACGCCCCGTACCCAATCAACCCAACCCCCACCATAGCCAGAAGGAAATTGATCACCTTCAGCAAACACTGCAGAAAACCTTGACACCCCATCTTCACTCACCTCTCTCTCTCTCTCTCTCTCTCTCTCTCTCTCTCTCTCTCTCAGAGTCAGAGTCAGAGGGTGTGCCCCCTCCCCTCCCTCCACACACCCTCGCCCGCCCTCCCCCCCCGCCCACACACACACTCACACAATTACACAATTACTCTGATGAAAGATTGTGCCGGGTGGATTTGCTCAAGAAAGGAGGATCTCCATCAGACTGTCATGGTGGACCCCTCCCCTCTCAGTCAGCTGGTTGAGCTTACCGTAGCAGGAGTGTCTCGAATCATGTGTTCGTCATAGCGCAGACACAGACACTCGCCTGCCCTCCAGCGCCGGGCTGGTCTGCTCGTTCTGCCGCGGACCCCAAGTGCTATGCACATTGGTATCCCGAAGTCATCCGCTCGTGCACAGGGCCTTCCGCCTTTGCCCTCGCAAACGCATCCACTTCCTTCCCCCCACTCCCGCTTTTGTGGAAACTGATGTGGCACCAAGGAGCACCCTCGACCGTGATCACCCGCGCCGCCGGGCCACGCCAAAATCAGTATTTCATGATATTCTGCAAAAACGTGCCACAATCAGCACTTCATGATATTCTGCAAAAACGTGCCACAATCAGCACTTCATGATATTCTGCGAGTTTTCACGCTGTCAACAGTGTAGTAATGATTGGGGAAGATTGAACAGGACTCTCATTCAAAAATATAAAAACAGAACGTTGGAATGAAAAATTGCCAAATAGTCCCTCCAAATTGACCGGAAAGACTCGCACATGCCAAAAATAGTCCCTCCATTTTGACCGGAAGGAGGCTTTTTTTTTCTTCTTCTTTTTTTTTCCTCGAAATTCAAATTTGAACATGAACATGAACCGAGGCCGGGGACCTTGACATTACACCTGGATGATATCCGGAAGCATCACCCAGCTTTCTTAGCTTACAGGCCAATGCCTGCAGGTCTTTCATCACAGACTTCGCAGCTCTGTTGCTGCCAACCTAAATTAACCTAGCCTAGCTAACTGACCACTAACACTAATCCATAATCTACTGATAGACCGTGCAGGCGCGGTACCGCAGACAAGAGCCAAGGGGGGGGCGATGCGACGACGGCGGGGGAAAGCAGGTCGATGCAGAGGCTGCTGTTCGGAGCGGGGATTTGGAAGGCAGTTTGTCGCTTCTCTGCGCTGGGGCTTAGGCATGTTAGGGTCTGGAGACTTGCAGTGGTAATTTTACAGCGTTCGTGTCTCGGGACCACACAATGGCTGGCATCGCTAGCCAAAAAGGGAAAAAAGTGTGGGATTGACGGTCTGGCAAAGTTCGGCGCGCAACGGAGCATCTCGAGGCCCAGGTGTATTGGGGGTCGCTCAAGACTCGTCGGGACTGAAAAAAAATTTGCAGGTTGCATGGGCAGTTCAGTTCTGTTTACAATGAAATTCGATGCTGGCCAAAAAGGGGAAAAAGTGTGGGATTGACGGTCTGGCAAAGTTCGGCGCGGAACGGAGCGTCTCTAGGCCCGGGTGGATTGGGGGTCGCTCAAGACTTGTCGGGACTGAAAACAGCTTTGCAGGTTGTGTGGGCGGCGCAGTTTTGTGTTACAATGAGAGTTATTAAGCTGCAGCTGTGGTTTGGTACTGTTTTGGCATTGTGAAGCATGCAGAAGTGTTGACTCAATGAATGAATGATACAATGAGCTGTATCATTTGTGTATGCAATTGTCTGTGTGACCTACAGTTGTCTGTTTTGTTGCCTCGGCTATTTCTGTCTAGCTTACTGTCTTCACCCGAATAGAACGCCCGGCCATTATTGCCGCATCTAGACAAAAAACTGCCGGGCGTTCTATTCGGGTGAAGACGGTGGCAGTTGCTTGCTGGATTCTTTGGCGGTTTCACTCTGTTAAAGAAGCAGTACATGACCCCAGGCAACTGAAGAACCTGTTTTTAAAGTCTCTCTGAAAATTTGGAAGGCTGAGTGCCGTAGATAAAATGAATCGGCGGTGGGCGGCCTTCGAAAGGGGCCCGCGGCCTATAGCTGCCCTCCAGCTTTATGGCTTTAAGTGATCGGTTAACTCTTTAATTTGTCGAGCAGCTTGTTGTCTTGCCAGTGCTTGTCTGTATGTTTGCAATTGGCTACATGTTTGTCTGTTTGGCACATGTCTATGTAATTGCCTCTGTGGGTGGGCGGCCTCCAAAAGGGGCCCGCGGCCTATAGCTGCCCTCCAGCTATATGGCTTCATGTGATCAGCTAACTCTTTAATTTGTCGAGCAGCTTGTTGTCTTGCCAGTGTTTGTCTGTATGTTCGCAGTTGGTTATATGTTTGTCTGTTTGCCGCATGTCTATGCAGTTGCCGCTGCGAGCTTCTGTTCCTTTAGTTGTCTAGCTTTTACCGGAAGAAGACAATGGCGTTTCGTGCTGAACAATACAAGCCCTATGTAGCGTGGTGAACAATGCATGATCTTCTTTTCTGTTCGAGCACTGACATACCAATGACATGCGTTGATGCTATGTATTACTTGTGAACGAAACGTGTTTGTTGTTGTGGTGGCAGGCAAGGGTGGTTGCCTGTCTTGTTCTTTGTCCATGCGAGACGTAGTGAGGTTCATGTAGTCAGATCATTTCGCAGCGGGTGAGCATTACGCCGTGTGGATGTGTATTGTCAAACAGATTCCTTTGAGGTGGTAACGTGACTTGCGTTGTCTGGCTGTTGCTTGGTCAAGAACAAGTTCAAAAAGGCGGACGGAAAAATTACAGCAATTACTTTGGAGACTGAGAGAATCATGCCGTTGAGGTGGATGATGTTTGACTTAAGTGAAGAGGCTATTCTATTGCTGTTACTTGTTTTATAGTCGTTATTCTTGTCTGTTGTTCGTTTGGCGTGCTGTTTGCTTGAAATTTTCTTGCGACTGTTTGTTCGTCTGAGTTCAAAACAACGAAGGGAGAAACCAGAAAAAGAGAACCACGTCGTTGAACCAGGTAATGTTGAGGAACGGTATAGACCGATTGCAGACCAGGTGCATTGAAGCAGGTGCGGAAAACTGTACAAATGTTTAGCTGTGAGGTTATGTGATTTAACTTGATTAGCTGTGTGTGATTGGAACAGTGGATAAAATGTGTTCAGGCGCGCAGCCTGTCTTTGTCCGCAATAGCAATTACTGACCAACGTGTTTCTTTACGGCATCACGCACCGCTGTGCACGCACGGCCTCGAACCGGCACCCTCAGCACCGACGTCTCATCAGCACTGCAACCCTCGGAGGCGTTATAAAAACTGGATCCATACCATTCGTGATATCCAGGGTTGCAGCGTTCTTGAGCTCACACCACACACACAACACCACACCACAGACACGGCAATCAACGCAGTCCGCTCTGACAACACGCAGCCCAATGTCCGGAGCTTTTATGCAAGTGTGGGTCTGCCTGCACTGTGGTGGTAACTCTGGATTCACCTGTCATGCTCTGTTTTAGGGTTAGGGTTAGGGTTGGCCACTGTAAAGTTGAAACCATCTTCGCAAGATGGAATTTGCCAGAAAAGAGTCCTGACCTCAGCATGCCCCAAGCTTTAGCAAAGCTCCCCCGCCCCCACGACTGAACATCACAGACAGATTCAAAGTTCAAACCCAAGTCTGTCATACTCACGCTGGCAGTTTCCTGCATGTATCTTGCTGCAGGTGATGAATCGGACTACCGTCATCCGCAGAAATTAGCGAAAAACGAGTCCTGATACGAGTACGCCATGAGCGTTGGCAAAGCTTCCCCTCCCCCAGGACTGAACATAGCAGACGGATCCGTCATACTCACACTAGCTCTTTTGTAAACCGCAGTTATGACCAGACCCAGACTCAGGAATCTAGCTGCCATCATGTCCAGAATTTGGCAAAAAAAGTCCTGGTGTGAGTATGCCCTGAGCTTCAGCATACAGCTCATAGGTAGCGCTCAGGGCATACTCACACTAGCTCTTTCCTAAATGTATGTAACTCGTTCTAACGACAATTACGGGCAGAGTAGGATCTCACCTCTTCTCAGTTTGCTCCTTCCTTGCACTCGAGTGCATCTTTCTTTCTTTGTGTGCCCCTTTCAGTTGTTTGTCTGTAGCTTTGCACTGGGTGCAATTTCATGTAACAGTCAGGTTGCCTGTTCGTAGACAAAGCCGGGGAGACGTCAGCACGAGAAAGCCCCCCCCCCGCCCCCCTTCTCTCCACAATCCCATGGAGACATGAGCACGACAAACCCTCCCACCCCAATCCACATTGGCAGGGATACATGACCACGACGAAGCCCCCCTGAACACAAACGCACTCCGATGCCAGCACCGTCTCATGGTACTTTTTGCGTTGCAATCAGAGTTGATTAAATAGGGTCTAAGAGTATCGTCTGCATGTGGACTATGTGCCACTCAGCAATGCAGTGCAGGAGTGTGGCGGACCTGAGCACATACACTTTGCATGCACGTGGTGAGCTATAAGTGTGCAATGAGTTCATCAATTAATCCAATGATATTGTCATGGACAAATGCTCTATGAGTTGGCCATGACTCGCATGAAATCATATTTAAACCACCATTACCTTTCTCCGCTTGAAAAACAAATGTGTGGCCATATACGGTCATAACTTTCGGGGGTCAGCGTACGGGACCAAAATGGCTGGCGGCACCAGCTAAAATGAGGCCCGGGCCAGTTCATTCTTCAGGCTTGGCTTCAATAGCTGGCGAGGGGACTGGTGGCTGAAGTTTAAACATCACATGTGTACACTGCACCAGTGCAGTATGTGCTGTGTTCCATACACACGCATGTTGTGCATACAGTTGCACCTTCAGTATGGGTCCAAGAGAAAGCAGCTTCCATTGGATTCTACCACTCCCCCCAGTGTGGCTGATCATCCGAAAAGACCAGCTTCCACTTTCCGTTAACTGTGGGACTCGACCCTATCAAAGGGACGAAAAGAAGACGCTAACATGAAGTTCTGAATCTTAGGGTGGGACCTGACAGGACGGCGGCAAACGGTTTCGGAAGTTGGAAAGTGATTTCCGGGACCCCACAGAGCAAAAAAGCCGTTTTGGAAGACGAAGGCAAAGTGTTTTCACTTGGTCCGCGGCCCGGCAAATCCTACGTGGCTCTAGCTTTCCGTTTTCCAAATGTCGGGCCGTTTACCTACCTTCCGGCTGCGAACTCCAGAGCCTGCGGACGGAAGTTGCTACCCTTCAATGTGAACATGTGAAGGTCCGCGCTTCGGTCCTGCGGGGGAAAGGCCGGGAATGAGCTGTTGTCACACGCTTACCGTTGGGGCCAGTTCCGTAGCACCGTGTGGGATCGGGGGACCCGATTCCCCGTCGGTTCTTGAATTTTCCCGCACCCTGAGGGGGCCTACGATTTCACAAAATCTCGATTTTGTGTGAACCTCCTCCTATAGACAACATTGACGTCGGCTGCATGCATGCACATTCCGGTTTCTTCCTTCGTTATCAGTGCGTGGACGTTGGCCTCCACAGCCATTGACCGCACATTTGTGACTGGAGTGCGCGCTGTGTGGGGGGGTTGTCTGCGCCATCTCCTGAAACCAAGGTCCGT